TCTGTCTGTCAAACCTTGGTCTGTAATCGATATGACGAGATCTTTTTCCAGCATCTATAAGTTTGTTTGCTGATATCTTTTTCAAACCTCTATTGTTGAATATATAAAAGTTGATTGGATTAATTTGATCCATTTCTTTAGGTATTTTTAGAATTATTTGGTCATCTGCAAATATTGGTTTGCAAAGAGTAAGAAGTAAAAGAAACGACATGTTTGTAATCTATGTATTAAATATTTTATTGTTTTCATTTTTATTTTAATATCAAATATCTGAATCGATATAAATTTTAATATTTGAAATATAGTTGTTTATTGATTTACATTTTTGTTACGAATTTGTACGCTCTTGGAAATACGCGTTGATGCTTTATGCAAAATCGTCTCTCCACTTCTAACAAGACATTGCAAATAACAAATTAGGTATAACGTGCTTACGAAATATCAACAAAAAGCAATTATCCCCGTACCCTTGTTAATACTGACACATTTGCATAGCATTTTTATTAATAAACGAACAATTTTTTATTTTTTTTTATAATCGAAGTGTTTAATACAATTACTAGCTGTTGTCCGCGACTTTACACAATATTAAGATTAAAAAGCCTATAATATGCCCCTCTATGTCAACTACCCTTCAGTGAAAGACCGGTCGAAATCGGCCCAGCCGTTTAAGACAAAGAAAAATTTAAATGCGATTTTAGTTATCAGCAACGCAAATACATCATTTTCCCGAAATCTGAAATTTTTCTTTTTATATATAACAAACAGACATTCCAATTTTATTATATGCATAGATATATATCTTTCAACCCTAAAGAGGGGGATCTGCTCCCCTCTTGGTAACTATGTCCTGGGGTAAAAGTATTTTTAAAGAGTCATTTAAATTCACAGGCATGTTATGAGGAGGGATGAATTGCATGTTACAAGGAGAACGTTAGTTATGAGTGTAGTACACCGGTAGAGGTAGACATAGAAAGAGATGGATGGATTGCGTGAAAGGTGACATGATAAAGGGATGGAGTGAGATGTATGACAGAGTTATGGAGGACAAAAACCTGTTGCGCCAACGGGAGTAGGGTAAAGAGCATGATGATTTTCGCGGAAGATTGCGCAAGCGTTCCCGTGACCCAGCCACTGGCGGATAGAAGGAACACCGCTGGGTTTTTAGTGGGTATTCCGGCCATTTTCCATCTTCTCGGCCGGCGAGTCCCGCATACCCTCCCTGGTAACGGGGGGGGGATGCGTAAATGCATTTTCCCAGCAAGAAAAAAAAAAGGAGCATGGTGATGAATTAAATTCACTCTGGTTCTCATCTCCGTGTCCTACTCCCGTAGGGTCGGCGCAACAGGTTTTTGTCCTCCACATAACTCTATCATACGTCATCTCAGTCACTCACGAATTTACAAATATGATTCACAGTCAAATTCACTCTGGTAGGCATATAAGAATAAATAAAAATTGTTTTTTTTTTTTAAATTTATTTTTATATCGCTTTCTGTTTTTTGTTTATCCTTGAAGGTGGTTTTTTAATCGTTTTTATGTTTTCCCTTACTCTGTCCTTTTCAGGTAATGGTTCTCCGAAATCATATTTATCTACTATTGTTGGTGATTCTTCGTAATTGAACGGTGTTGTTTGAAAACGTGGTTTTTTAGATTTAGCAGTACTTGTGGATATTTCTTTGATATTTCCTTCATTTTCTTCGATATCATAGTCACCGTCAACCCATAAATAACTAGTCACAGCTCTTACTATGTCCGTTTCTTTGCTAACTTTATTCATACTTTTTATGTTATCTAGGTTACTTTTGATTTTTTTATTATTCATTGGAGTTTCTTGTATCTTTTCATCTTTTTCAGAATATTCATTGCTACTGTTTGTGTTTAATTTTATTCTTTCATAAATGAGATCTTTTGTGGTTAGTTTCTTTTGGGATACTTTTGCTTTGGTATATCTCGATGGTGTGATGTATTCTTTTCTTGTTTTCTTTATAAATCTGAATTTTCTCGTTGTAGTTTGTTTATTTTTTACACGTCCTTCTATATCTTTTTCCTCTAAAGAGTCCACTTTAGGTTGCAAAATTACAAATATTTCATTACCTTTTACTTGTTTGTTTCTAACACTGTTCTTAATTGTATAGCGAGGTTTTCTTTTCTCAATAATGTTCGGTGTTGGTTTAGTTTCTGGTATTTTCCGTAGTAATTCATTTGGGTTATTGTTAAAATTTTTAGCATAATGTTTTCGTGTCCAACGTTTGTTTTGCGATTGTTTGTTTTCCCTTGAAGTTTCTGTTGATTTTTTGATGTCATTCCAACGCTTTTTCTGCATTTGTTCATTTTCTCTTGAAATTTCTGTTGATTTTTTGATATTATAGTCATTTTTATGTTTCGTGTTAGGTTTTTTATATTGTGGAGTCTTTGCTGTGTTTATAATTCTTTGTGTACTTTCTGTTTGAGCGAAATTTAATTTGTTTCTTAAATATTTCGATACTAAATCTTCAATTACTCGTTCTTTTATATGTTTTCCTAGTTGTTCGATGACATATCTGTTAGCTTCTTGTATTATTTCATCATCACTTTCTTCTGTTTCGAAATTGTTAGTTTTAGACGATCTTCTGAAATTAAATTTTCTAGAATCATCTGAATAATCATCGCTTTCGTTAGAAATATCTTTCCTTTGTCCATTTGATATCTTTATTATCTTATTCAATATTTCAAGTACGTTCCCTTGAATTATTTTCCTTGCCATAGTGTTTAAATCACCCAAATTCGCAGACAATAATATATAACTATTTATACATTTTGTTAATATAAAGATGCTGTCTGGAAAAGAATAAAAAATGTAGTTTCAAAAGCTGTCGCGCAAATTTGGACCACCCGTTACGCCATTTTGACGGCGAGGAATTAAAAAAAAAGTAGCTTATAATATGCCTATCCATGTCAGCTGCCCTCCTGTGAAAGTCCCGTCGAAATCGGCCCAGCCGTTTCAGACGTATCCCGGAATGAACGCGGCTTGGAGACAGACAGACAAAAAATTTTTAAATTCGAAAATCATTAGTACAGCGGCATTCGAACCCAAGACCTATAGGTGCTTAAATCACTAAGCCATCGACGCTCTTAGCAATCTTACTAATGTTAAGCATGCGAAGTTAAGTTTGTTAAAATTTAAGCTGAACGGATCTCGATGTTTCGCATAGATGTACTTACTTCATCTCCCCTGCCTTATCCTACTCCCGTAGAGTCTACGCACCGGGTTTTCGTCCTCCAAAGCACTCTATCATCCATCATCTGTCATCACTCCCTTCTTGATCATGTCACCTTTCACGCAATCCATCAATCTCTTTCTACGTCTACCTCTACCGGTATACCACACTCATAACTAACGTCCTTTTTACATGTGATAGATGATAGTACTTACTTATTTCTTTAAATCCCATGACGAAGTCGCGGGTGAAAGCTAGTATTAGTATAGATAATGAATTTAACTTACATATTAATGTAGGAATGGATAATAAAATCATCTCTTATGCTATTTTATAAATCCTTTGAATTATCTTGCATAATGTTTCACCATCTGTACTGAATATAATAAAATTATTATTTTTTAGTAAGAATGGGCTGTCGCCCGCAAACTTCGTTAGTTCAAATTTGGAATACCCGTTACGCCATTTTGCCTATAATATGCCTATATGTCAGCTACCCTCCAGTTAAAGTCCGGTCGGAATCGGCCCAGCCGTTTCGGAGATTACCCGGAACAAACGCTGCTTGCGGACAGACATACAGACAAAACGCAAATATCATTTCGAAATCAGGATTTTTTTCTTTTGACATTACAAACAGACACTCCAATTTTATGCAAGTAGAGACATTAAAGAAATCTTTAGACTAGACATATAATATTTTTCACCGGTAACTTCTTTGTACGGTAACATCTTAGTGTATTGATTACCGAACACCAGGTGGCATTAGTGAGGTTATGTGAACAATGTTTCATCTGATATGTCAATTATGCTTCATATTTTCTTGTTAATCTGTGCATTCAAGTATGCCAGTTACTTGAATGTGTTATCTCGACCTTAGTCATGTTTTGCTTACCTTATAGTTGTTTAGAATCATTAATAAAAGCAACAAATAGGTTAAAAATGCAATTAAACACAACTTAAAGATCGTTTACTAATGTTTTTGTACTAGAAATCCAATAAAATAGTCATCCTATAGTTTTGAAAAGCATAGGAATTTAATCGAAGAATTGTTATTGAATTTTGTTTTACGAGTTCTACAAAAATGTTAGAGTTTTATTACTATAGTGCGACACTGTTATTTGGCCCGGCAAATTATATTAAACTAGCTGTTGCTAGCAACTACGCCTGCATGAAATAAAAATAAAAAGATAACCTACATTATTCACTGATAACGTAGCTTTTTTATGGTGAGAGAAATATTGAAAACGACCCCGTAGTTATTGAGTTATGTCAATACATACAAAAATAAAATTCTTTCCTCCTTATAATTTTAGTATAAACTAACAGTTCCCATGCGGCGTCATCAGCATGAAATTATGAAAATTTAATTTTATTGTTTATATTTGTCAAATTATCAATTGCAAATGTCAAAATGACATAACATGACAAACCTTGGCAATCTTGTTTCCTTGATGTTGGCAGCAACTTATGGTCTCTTTCCCACATTAAAGTTTTTATCCAAAATATTTACCCCCTAAGTTTAATGGCGTGAAGATATATAGCCCAAAGCGTGACGTAAGTGTAGGGCTTTTTATTGTAAAAAGAATTATTCAAAAGTATGCTGTAATTGCTGACATCTTGGGCATAAAGTTGTGTGTGTTTACGCTTTATTATATTAGTATAGATTCAAACTACATTTTTTTTTAATTTCAAGCGTGTGAAGTCGCGAGCAACATCTAGTTAGAAATAAAAAGATAACATCAATATGAGATCATTTATTTATAAGTAACTTATATGACTTAAGTTGTACTTAGTCCAAAACATATTTAATATGCCTTATAACTTATAACCGTCCATTTCATGCCATTGTATTTTTACATATTTTGTCTCTGTTTGTTCAAATAGGATAGAAGAGTTATGTTTTTATACTAATTCCACAGTAGATAGTAATTCTTGCCAGTCGTCTGCATTTTATTTCGATTTTGTGCTGTTAACACTCCTTGCCACTCTAATATTCTCCGGATAGAGTTCTGTGAATGGACAATTAACGTATTCATTTAAAAATAATTTCCTAGATTACCATTAAAATAATATTTAATCGTACTTGAACTCGTTAAAAATATATAAACAGTGCCATCTATTGACACTGAACTGAAATTAAATTTTAACGCCATCTATCGGTAAGGTTCACCCTTTAATTACCTGAAGTTTGATAAAGGGGTTATAAATCGCATTAGGCTACAATCGATTATATTTTAATATATTTTTTTTGTTTCTATTACCTTTGATAATCTTCAAGTTAGAAAACAATAGATTTTTTTACTACTTCTCCTGAGTAAAAATTACGGAGTACAATTATACATTTTTTAATTTGATTTGTAAATCAGGCTTTTAAGGGATTAATACCTACCATATGCCAGTTCCCTGCCAAGACGTGGTGAAAACTGCACAGTGCGGCCCAATCTCGGTGAGAAATATTCCGATCTGATATCAACACGATCTCGGCCAGAACTGTTGAAATCACACATCATCTACTTATAATGACAAATAACTAGCTATTAAATAAAATAGAAAATGAATACTGTATCATTCTGTATTCTTATATAAACATAACATATATTTGAATTTCTTCTCCGACATGTGCAATCACGATGTTTTTCCTTCACCGTAAGAATGTCGGGTAAATTATGTACATATGAAAATTCGTGTCACATTGGTTTGGCGAGATTCGAACCAAACACGTAGTCACGTCAAACTCTAAATCTAGCAGGGTTTTTTTTATGTTACAAGGGCAAACGACCAAGCGGCCACCTTAAACCACCAAAATGGCGAAGCGACTGCCATGTACATTCGCAATTGTATGCGTTGAGAACCCCTTAATGGACGGAGGAGGAGACGCACATAAAGAGGATATTTCCTCTTCCTACGCGTCTCCTCCGCCGTTAAATCCACTTTTCAATACCATCCCTTCCTCTTAAAATGGTGGAAATGGAAAGGGACTAAAATTAGGCCTCCGGCACCACACTCATCAGGCTGTACGCGGAATTGCTCCCACTTCACGCGTGTCTTATATGGTCGTGGTATTGCTGAGTCGAGCCCCAGTGCGAAGATGTTAAAGCGGAGTCTACCACTGTTATAATAATATTTCATCTTACATTTCTTGTTCCGGTGTTGTGGCAGATTCAGGGACTCGTCTACCAAGTCGTGGTGTGAATTCCACATTTTCGTATGCTCTTTTCTCCTCGTTTCTTTCCAAACTGCGTCCCAATTTAGGTGTGAAAATCACTTTCTTGATGACTAGAAGAAATAAATTATATTTAGAAATTTTATCTACATATTTATACATATAATAAAATTGATGTGTCTGTTTGTAATATCAAAAGAATTCCAGATTTCGGAAAGATGTATTTGCGTTGCTGATAACTAAAATCGTATTAAAAATTTTTTTGTCTGTCTGTCCGCAAGCAGCGTTTGTTCCGGGTACATTCCGAAACGGCTGGGCCGATTTCGACCAAACTTTGACTGAAGGGTAGTCGATATAGACGGGCATGTTATAGGCTACTTTTTGATTCCGCGTTGTTAAAATAGCGTACCGGGTAGTCTAAATTTGAAAGAAATTTAAGGGCGACAGCTCTTTGAAAAAAAAAGAGTAGAAAGACTTTAAATAAATATACAGACGAGACAACATTTTTTCACCGGTACTTTCTCTGATAGGTACTATATCAGTTGTCAAATTTAGTGCCGTTTCGTATTGACATATTATAAAACATTTTACTAAATTATAATAATTCAATTTTCTGTTAGAAAAAATAGTGTTGAACGTTGGCAATTATATTGATTGTGGTTTTGAGGTTAAAAAGGTCTTAAGTGAAGTATCAAGTATGGCTCCTCTATATATTTTTGAATCTGTCTGTGCATTAGAAAAAAGATTGCGATGTACATTCGCGCGTTTGACTATTGAGAAATGGACTAATCAGCGACTGTTGTAATTCTGTCAGTATTCGAATGTTAAAAATAAATAAAATAAAATAACATTTAATCTTATCACAAGAAAACACAACAAAGTAATTAAAAAAAGGAATAATAAACTCGTAATTACAGGACAAACAAAGTATTTAAAATGTGTATTGCAATGCTGACCGGATTGGGTCCTCGCTTGCTATAAATGCTGGATAAATGATCTTAACTTAATGTAACTTACTTGTACATATTACACTTAAAATGTTACCTTTCTGGGGTTCATCCAATTGGGATTCGTAAAACGGCAATTGGTCATAATAATATTTTAAGGTGTCCGCCGCTTCCAAAAGTCGAAGAAACTTTTGACTGTAATTTTTTAAAATAATAAAAACATAACATTATACACAAGAAACGATATAATTAAAAAAATTAATAAAAACATTAATATTTGGTTATTTTAAGAATATCATATTCATACTAATATTATAAATACGAAAGTTTAGATGGATGGATGTTTGTTAGTTTGTAGCCTAAACAGCTAAACGGATTTCGATGAAATTTAGTACAGATGTAGAGGATAGTCTGGAAGAACGCATAGGCTACTCACTTTTGTTTTTTTTTTAATTCCACACGGACAGAGTCGCGTGAGAAAGCTAATTGTGAAATAAAATAAAGTAATATTTTAGGAGCGGTGACTCAGGGGTTTTAACACTTGACTTGTAATCTACAGGTCTTGGGTTCGAGTCCCGGTGTTATGTATTTTCGAATTTCATATGTACATAATTTACCCTGCGTTCTTATGGTGAAGGAAAACATCGTGACGCACATATCAGTGGCGAAATTCAAAGATATGTGTGAAACCAGGACTAAGGCCTAGTCACGTAAGCTCCGAGCCCCTTAGTGGAGATGCATAGTGAGGTGATGAATATTTTAAACTAGCTGTCCCCGTGCGGCTTCATCCGCATTCAATAATGAAAATTTTATTTTATTGTTTACATTAGTCTAATTGTCAATTGCAAATGTCAAAATGACATGACGTGATGACAAACCATGGCAACCTTGTTTCCTTAATGTGGGCAGCTTGTAGTTTATGGTCCCTTTCCCACATTAGAGTTTTTATCTAATTTATTTACCCCCTAAGTTTAACAGCGTGGAAATATATATGCATAAGCATGTCGTAAGTGTAGGGCTTTTTATTAAAAAATAATTATTCAAAAAATGTGCCGTAATTGCTGACATGTTAGGCAACAAAGAAGTGTGTGTTTACACTTTATTATAATAGTATAGATAGATAAGCAACGATAAGTATATCGTATGTAGATATGTTTTTGTTAATTTTAGAAATATATTTAACCAGTAATATGTTACCTGTTGGCTTCTGAAGATAGAGGTAGCGATCTTTTTCCCAATCGAGGTCCGAACCATAGACCATTCCGGTCACTATGAGCACCTCTATCCAATGTGTCTTCCTGTAATAAGAAAAAAATTCAATCTTCCATCTTTATCCATAACGAAGTTACAGTGGTGTCAAAAAAGCCCTGAATCGCTTCGAGATAATAATGTTCGGTGCACTGCCGTACACAGATTACACTCTGTATAAAGACATCTAAGAAATACGTAGACTAGACATCAAGTTTTTTCACCGGTAACTTCTTTGAATGGTACCAAGCTAGTTCTCAAGTTTAGAGGCTCACGTCTTTGTATTGACGTTAAAAAACATTTAACAAAATTGTAATAAGCTCCATCTTTTGTTAAAATAAATAGTGTCACAAAATAAACATTTAATTATGATTTAGTGACATCTATTGACAATTTATTTCAATGTTAATTCTCTTCAGTCAATGTAGATTCATTTTATATGAGAAGGGGGCAAACGAGCGGCGGGAACACATAGGTGGTCAACGACGCCCATGGATATCCGCAACACCAGAGGTACTACAGATGCGTTGCCGGCCTTTGAGGAAATTGTAGGCTCGCTTCTTGAAGGACCCTAAGTCGTATTAGTTTGGAAATACCGCCGAGGACAGACCGTTCCACAACGCGATTTCCACATTACTTAAACGTTTCTATACTTTCAATTGTCGATTGTTATGGTAAAAATGTAGAAAGCCTTACGTAGAAGTATCACTGCATACCTTGGCTAACACCGACATCTAAGTAATAATTGTACAATATAGACATAACAGCTACAATACTTTTTAGTGAACTGTTTTTTTTTTTTGAGAATATTTTGTTTTTAGTGTACTTTATTTGGAAGTCGGTTTTGTTATTTTATTAATTTTTTTATTTATCAAAGTAATACTGCCGACACTGCGACACCGAACTGCATGACAGTGAGGGCTTGACGCAGTATATCCATGAAAAATTAAATCCACACATAACTGCTACTCATTGAAGGAAATACAGTCTTCACATGTGTAAACATAAATAACATATAAATTTTTGCATTTGCGTCAGCAAAATTTCCCCTTAAAATGAGGATATCATTTGAACGTAATTGTTAACGAATAGGATATTTTTAATGCTGTAAACGTTGAAATACATTTTTATGTAATTAAAAAAAACACAATGAGTTTATTGAAGAATTATTTAAGCTTTCCACAATAATAAATGTTGCAATAACATTTTAGGTTTGATAGTGGTAAAGCCCGCTTTAACATCGTAGCAGGAATGGGCCGGCTCGCCCGATGTAATACCACGACCACACAGAGGACAGGCGTGAAATGGAAGCAATTCCGTGTTTCGTCTGATGAGTGTGGTGCTTGAGGCCTAATTTAAGTCCATTTCTCTTTACCACTTTTCTTATAAGGGGAGGATGGGAATGGGAAGTGGATTTGATGGTGGAGGAGATGCATAGGAAGGAGAAATATCCTCCTTATGTACGTCTCCTCCTCCTCCGTCGGATAAGGGTAGGCAACGCATCTGCAACTGTTGATGTCTATGGATAGCGGTCGCTTCGCCATATTGACGGATTCTGGTGGCCGCTTACTTGTTTGCCACCTTACGGTATATATAAAAAAAAGGTTAAACCCTTTATACGGTGACTAGCTGTTGTCCGCGACTTCGTACATTAAAACATACGAAAAAAAGAACTATTTATCCCTTGGGAACTCTTTTCAGAGATGGATTATATCCCATTGACTAAACCAGTATTTTGTTTAATATTTTTGTCAGATTTCAATAAGATATGTCGAACCATTGCAGAATCAAACATGAAAAAACAAAATTAATGTATCCCATGGAAACCGAAACAATTTTCGTGATAAAGTTACCTTTGGATTTATTCAGACTCTACATGACAATCATCGAGATCCTTTCAGTAGTTTAGGCTACAAACTCTAACAAACATCCATCTAAACTTTCGCATTTATAATATTAGTATGATTTCTATGAATTATTAAAAAAAACTACATATTGTAGTTAAACTAGCTGTTCCCGTGCGACTTCATCTGCATGAAATTATGAAATTTTTATTTTATTGTTTACATTAGTCAAATTACAAATGTAAAAATGACATACATGATGACAACCTTGCTTCCTTGATGTTGGCAGCAACTTATGGTCTCTATCCCACATTAGGATTATATGCAAAATATTTACACCCTAAGTTTAATGGCGTGAAAATATATAGTCTAAAGCGTGACGTAAGCGTAGGGCTTTTTATTAAAAAAAGAATTATTCAAAAATATGGTGTAATTGCTGACATCTTAGGCAACAAAGAAGTGTGTGTTTACGCTTTATTATAATAGTATAGACATAGATTTGACTTACCTTTATTTCTTCGCATATTAATAAACTATACAAGTTAAATACAAACAAGCATAGAAGAAAATCTTTTACTATAGAAAACATTGTTTTTTGAATTACTTTGAAAAGTTCCTTGTTTTTACCAATGTCTTGGTTGTGACTGAAGAAAATCGAGTCCTACTACCCTTTTATACTATTCTAAAAGCAGGGAGGCGGTTTTAATGAAAAGGGGATGTTCGGGTAAATATGTATACAAGAAAATTAACAATTTAGATTATTTATTTAATAATATTCTTAACGTGATTTCATTTAATAATTTATCTGTGAATTTCTCCAACCTCTCTCCCCAATCTCTCCTTATAAGAAAAGGGTGGTAAAGAGAAAGGGACTTAAATTAGGCCTTCCGTACCACACTCATCAGACGAAACACGGAGTTGCTTCCATTTCACGCCTGTTTTCTGTGTGGTCGTGGTATTACACCGGGCGTGCCGGCCCATTCGTGCTAAGATGTTAAAGCGGGCACTACCACTGTTGAATATGTTGTCTATAACTCTATCATACGTCATCTCAGTCACTCCCTTCATCATGTCTCCTTTCACACAATACATCCATCTCGTTTTAGGTCTACCTCTGCCGGTGTACTACGCTCTTAAGTAACGTCCTTCTTGTTACATGTGATTCATCCCTCCTCATAACATGCCATACTAACCTTTTACTCTTTACCTTCTCTACCACTGGGGCTACTCTCAAACTTCCTCTAATATACTCATTTATCATTTTCGTATATACTCTCTTTTCTTTCTCTCTTGGTTTCCTATGTCCTCAAAGTGGGGCAGAGGGCGTCCACAGTACGCCGCCAGCTCGGTCTGCCCTCTGCGTTTGGTCTCGGACCATGACAGCCCGATTCCCTTCAAGATATACTCTCTTAGAGAATATAAAATACGAAAATGTAACAGAGAATTCAGTTACGCAAAAACCGTGTACCATTTTTCCCCCACACACCCCTGCCTTTATAAATTAGCGACAAATTGAAACAAATCGTCTAAACGTAATGATTTCTGTACATCGAGGTGATCTGTCAATACGAGTCTATTAATTCCTTTCTCTATTCCTCTTTTAGCTAAAAACTAGCTTTAGTCCGCGACTCCGTCTTCGTGGAATTAAAAAAAAACAAAAAAGCAGCTGTGTTCTTCCAGACTAACTACGTCTGTGACAATCATTGAAATACGTTGTAAAAGAAATGTAGGCTATGTTATTCAGTAATAACGTAGCTTTTAAATGGTGTAAGAAGTTGAACGGCCCTTATAGTTTTTTCAAATTATTTACCCTCTAAGTTTAATAGCGTGAATATAGCTTGAACTTTGAAAGTGTGGGGTTTTTAATTTATAAAGAATTATTCAGAAATGTACTGTGTTTGCTGACATCCTACGCCACAAATAGTGTTTACGATTTATATTAGTACTAGGTTACACCCGCGACTCCGTCTGCGTGGAATAAAAAAAAATTGTAGCCTTTGTGTGCTCCGGGCTGTCATCTATATATATGACAAATTTCATCGAGATCCGTTCAGCAGTTTTGGCTACAAACTCTAACAAACATCCATCTAAACTTTCGCATTTATAATATTAGTAATTAGTAAGATAAAATTCCATTTCTAACTACTTTTTAACTTGTGAACTAGTATTTAATATTAGTTAATAAAATTAAATAAAGATTTGGACATTTTAATTTTTATATGTATTGTAATAACTCAACTACCGAGACAATTTTAAAAAATTCCTTCACCGTTAAAAAAGTAATTTATCTGTGAGTACCATAGGTTTTTTTTTTAAATTTCGCGTAGACGATGTCAGGAGTAACAGCCAGTTAATGAATAAAAGGATTACAAACACACAAACAACATTCCCGTGATAATGTTTTTGTTTAAATAAATTAGGTGGTTTAATTCCATTTCGTGCTAAATTACAACTGTATTAGATTTGTATCTCTATAAACATTGACTTTTAAGAGACAGGACTAATCAAGGACGCGCAACCCTTCCTAACAAACATTTGTTCGTTTAATAACCTCTGAAGTTATTTGTGTGCTCGATTTGCTATGTTTTGTTACTTGAGGTTACGAACAATCGACATCTTAGGAGACATATTCTAAAACAAGCTTGTTAATCGTCATCCAAAACGAAGACGGTTACTAATTTGTCTGCATATTTTGTTTTCATTTTTTAAATTTAACCTAAAAGTTACAGCGTCGGTGGCTCAGTGGTTAAAGCACTTGACTTGTAATCTACAGGTCTCAGGTTCAAATCCCGCTGTACTAATGTGATTTTCTATTTTTAAATTTCATATAATATAATTTACCCGATGGTCTTACGGTGAAGGAAAACATCGTGATACTGCACATATCGGCGAATAAATTCAGATATGTGTGAAGATTATTAGTTGCAACTAAACAGTTGAATTGGCTGCAATACAATCGACAATCGCACAACAGTTGTGGGATAGTTTAGTCAAGAGTGTGTGCGCCCTTAAACTCACCTCCTTTGATGATTGGAATGATACATCATAATATTATAAATGCAAAAGTTTAGATCGATGGATAGATATTTGTTAGAGTTTGTAGCCTAAACGGCTTAACGGATTTCGATGAAATTTGGTATGGATGTAGAGGATAGCCTGGAAGAACACAAAGGCTACTTAGTTTTTTTTTAAATCCACCCCAACGAAATCGTGGGCGAAAGCTAGTTTGTTATAATTGTTTATTTTTGCCTAGTCCATTTTTTTGTACCCAAAGTTAACACGAAACAAACAATAAGATTTGGTGTAAGACAAAATTCCTTACAGTAAATATATAAGAATTTTAATAGTTTTTAACCTAAACCATTCATCTATGTATATCTATACTAATATTATAAAGAGGAAATATTTATATTTTAGTATGTATTGAAATAACTCAAAAACTACTGGACCGATTTTAAAAATTCTTTCACCATCAAAAAGGTAATTTATCTGTGAGTAACACAGGTTACATTTTATTATTACTAATGTTTAGGAACTATTAATAAACAGCGTGTTTTTTTTATTATATCATAAGGTGGCAAACGAGGAAGCTGCCACATGAATCCACTGTAATAGAAAGCGCCCGCTGCTCATAAACATCCATAATTGCAGATGTGTTGCTTACCCTTCATTGACAGAGGAGGAGACGCAAATAAAGAGGACATTTTCCCTTCCTATGCGTCTCCTCCACCGTCAAATTCACTTTTCCTTCCCATCCTATCCTCTTAGGGGGGAAAGGGAAAGGGATTAAAATTAAATATTGTATATATCAAAAGTGTCCTACTAACTTTCGCACTCGGCTCCGTCTGTGATATTAAAAAAATAACAGAAATAAATATCCCATGTGTTCTACCAGACTTCGCGTTACATCTATGCCAAATTTTATCGACCTCCGTTCAGCAGATTAAATTTTAACTAACTGAAACAAACATCCATCGAAACTTTCGCATTTATATTGTTAGGAAGATCATCTTGGTCCACTTATACATATCTCAATCATCTATACATATAATAAAATTCGAGTGTCAGTTTGTTGTTGTTGTCAGTTGCTGATAACGAAAATCGCATTTTATGTCTGTCTGTCTGTCCGCAAGCCGCGTTTATTCCGGGTAATCTCCGAAACGGCTGGACCGATTTCGACGTGACTTTCACTGGAGGGTAGCTAACATGGCCGCGCATTTTATAGGCTACTTTTTAATTCCGCGCTATCAAAATGGCGTAACGGGTGGCCCCAATTTGCGAAAAGTTTGCGGGTGAGAGCTAATCTTACTAATATTATAAATGTGAAAGTTTAGATGGATGGATGGATGTTTGTTAGCGTTTGTATCCTAAACGGCTGAACGGATATCCATGAAATTTGGCACAGGTTTAGAACGTAGTCTGGAAGAACACATAGGCTACTTTTTATCCCGGAAGTAGTTACGGTTCCCGAGGGATTCATTAATTTAGTTTTTTAATGTTCACTCGATCATTCTGCAACGGTTCAACATATCTCATTGAAATTTGGCACAGATATAAAACAAAGTCTGGACTATACATACATAGTCTGGATACGTAGCTTTTTGTAATTTATATAGTTCGTATGTTTTCTAATACCACGCGGACGAAGTCGCGGGCAACAGCTCGTTATAACTAAAGTAACAGTCAACATTTATTCATACATGACTACATGAAACCGCATTACAAATAAAATAATTGAAAACCTAATTACAATCTTTTTTCCTCCTAAAATTATATAAAAACCGAAAACATTATAATTGTCCTCAGTCACTAAACATTGGTGTATATTCTGTGTTTTGAACAATAGTAAAGTAAAATTTTCAAACAAAAGAAACAATGAAATTAACAATATTCCTATTGTGTACTGCTGTTATGTGTGAAAACGTATTTGGATATTTTTCAATAAATGTGGCAACATTTTTAAAACAGATAAGCAGTTTTAATATGGATATAAAATTAAACATTGACAATATAGACAATGGATACGATTTAAATAATAACGTTGACCAACAGGACATTGGTGAAGATAATTTTAAGGGGAATTTTGATGTACCGCATAAATGCCCAGACAACAAAACTCCCGGCATTGCAGGTTGTACAAATAAGAATGTAACAGTCAGAGGCTTGATAACCAAACAAAATATTATTCGCAAAAAACCACGGACGTAAGATGTAATACACTCCAAACTTTATAGAGGCTCGCAGAATGTATGCAGCATGGAAGACGCAATCATACGAACTGTGTTAACACAATCGATGTTTTTAATAAAAAAAGGGGTTATTGTGGGACAATCTTAATATAGATATATTATTTTACGGACTTCAACTTAGCAAATTTAAAGGGCTACAATTATTCCATACATCATTTTTGTGTAAATCTTATAGTTTAGGCTACGTAAGCAAAGAAAGCAAGAAAAAATAAACCAGCGTTTTTAACTTAAGTCGACTAATTTTAAAGTAATGGCGGACGACTTTTAACAAATGACATGTGAAATAGAAATAGAAAATTACAACTATAGTTATTATATTAAATGCTTATAACAATTTGAAATGAAATAAATGATATAGCTTTATTGATTTTCCTTTTGGGCAGAGATGTGTCCAAACTTGAGTTTCCCTATGAATCACCGGGCCCCCATCACTCAGACCACAACGAAATTTACAAAATAAAAAAACAAAATAAAAGAACATTATGAATTTATCAGAACAAGCATAGAAATATTTTAAGAAAATAAAGAAGAAATTAAAACTATATGTGAGGTGTTTGTGCGTAATGTGTAAGGAGTAGAAAAAATGAAATAAATGTCACAAAATCAACAGTGAAACCTATTTGCATGCCAGTTACTTTAATGCTAGTTGGCATATGCCAGTACCAGTCACATGCCAGGTACTGGCATGCAATAAGCTAACGTGACTGCTACGTGCTTACAAGTTAACACATTTACTGCGGCAAGTAAATTCATAAGTAATGTGGTGTGGCGACGCGCCGAAATGCGCCCCCAATTTCCACCAGTGCGGGGCAGGTCTTTTTAAACCCACTAGGATAGATTAAATTGCTATAAATTTGGTGGAAACATATACATTTTATGTAATGTACACATCTGAGATAATTGTTTCACTCTAGCATGAAGGATATAGTTTTCGTCCGCACCAGATTACCGCGGCAGGTCGAAATCGGCCTGTTACGCAGTGAAAATGTTAAGAGTGGGGTTAAATGGGTCGGAAACTAGACTGTCTCAGTGTGGTCTCATGAGATCTTATTGGCATTTTATTAGTACGTGTATAGCCATAATTATACATAACATGTATCAGGTAAAATGGACGCTATATAATATCGATTTTCTTTAATAAAGACATGCTTACATAAAATGAATTTTATTTGTATCCAATATTTCGTGTACTGTGATGTATTTTTGATGTTGTTTGCTACAGCATCTTACCGCTGCTTATTAGTTACTAGGTGTTCCCGTGCGACGTCATCCGCATGAAATTATGAAAATTCTATTTTATTGTTTACATTTGTCAAATTATCAATAGCAAATATCAAACTGACTGACTATATATAGGAAGTTTGAGGGTAGCCCCAGTGGTTGAGAAAATAAGGAGTAAAAGGTTAGAGTGGTATGGGCATGTTATGAGAAGGGATGAGTCGCATGTAACAAGAAGGATGTTAGTTATGAATGTGGAGGGGTACATCGGTAGAGGTAGACCTAGAAAGAGATGGATGGATTGCGTGAAAGGTGACATGATCAATAAGGGAGTGATGACTGAGATGACGGATGATAGAGTGCTTTAAAGGACGAAAACCCGGTGCGCCGAACCTACGGGAGTAGGATAAGGCAGGGGAGATGATGAAACTGACATGACATTACAAACCTTGCCAACTTATGGTTTCTTTCCCACATTAGGGTTATTATCCAAAATATTTACCCCCTAAGTTTTAATGGCGTGAAAATATAGCCTAAAGCGTGACGTAAGTTTAGGGCTTTTTATTAAAAAAAAGAATTATTCAAAAATATGTTGTAATTGCTGACATCTTACGCAACAAAGAAGTGTCTGTTTACGCTTTATTAACAGTAATAGATAACGAGATGGAATTTGTCTCGATGCAAGAAACAAAGCAATATAAGTGGTATACCGCAGATTTCCTCGACTGTACATGCAGGTTTTTTTTATCTTATGTGTTGTAAATCTTTTTTATTGAGAATTAGCTTCAAGTGATCTTTTAGATTCTTGTATTACATAGTCTAATAATCGCCGTGTCTTGAATAATTCCTTCCTTAGAGTATATACAATTTTTTCTGACGTTTCCTCGTTTATATCTTGAAATTCCTCTTTGACGTTTCGCTTTATTATATCGAAATTCTCATCCGGTATACCATCTTCTATATTTTGACTCAAATCTATATTTTCAACATTACCTTTCAAGATTTCTCTTAAATGATGGGAGAAGTTTTCTAAGAACTCTTCCAAGATGATTTTTACAGCTTTCATGTCATTTATTGTCAGATGTTGGTATTCTTTTTTGACGTAATCTGACAAGATTTGTTTGAAGTTTTCAACGTAGGTGATCAGTTCGAATTGTCGATGGAGCTCCGCGACGGAGTCATTCTCTTTGATGTACGGTTCCTCTTCCACTGGTCGAGCGTTGCTCAGAACTATTGTATAGAGGAGTAATAGGTAGCCTGAAATAAGAAAATGTATTTATTAACAAATTAATAATGTATCAATTTTAATAATCTATATCTATACTATTATAATAAAGCGTAAACACACACTTCTTTGTTGCCTAAGATGTCAGCAATTATAGCATATTTTGAATAAATATTCTTTTATAAAAAGCCCTACACTTACGTCACGCTTTAGACTATATATTTTCACGCTATTAAATTTAGGGGGTAAATATTTTGGATAAAAACTCTAATGTGGGAAAGAGACCATAAATTGCTGCCAACATCAAGGAAGAAAGGTTGCCATGGTTTGTCATAATGTCATGTGAATAATAAAATTTCATAATTTTATGCGGATAAAGTCGCACGAGAACAGCTAGTAAACAATAAAAGCAACTTTGATTAAACTATCAAACAACTGTTTTGCGATTGTCGGTTGTTTAGCAGCCAATTCAACTATTTAGTTGCATAACTAAAATTCGAGTTGTACAAGGTAGATAGATACACGCGAAAATGTTATAGATAGATGGCCATATTTTGACCGACTTCCCATAAGAAGGAGGTACTCAATTCGTCCGTATGTTTTTGACCGTCTTCCCAAAAGAAGGAGGTACTCAATTCGTCGATATGTTTTTTTTTGTTACGGCATAACTCCGCCGCTAGTGGACCGATTTTGATAATTCTTTTTTTATCCGAAAGGTAATGCTTGCAGGTGGGTCCCATTTTTGGATTGATTTTTAGAGTCGAAGACTACGACGTAGTTAAATAGTTTAGCTCAAAATCGCGCGACGAAATTTAGGGTCATTTTAGCTTTCTTTGCTTACGTAGCCTAAACTATAAGACTTACATAAAAATTATGTATGGAAGAATTGTAGCCCTTTAAATTTGCTAAATAATATATATCTATCTATTAAGGTTGTCGCACAATAACCACTTTTTTCCGAAAGGTAATGCTTGCAGGTCGGTCCCATTTTTGGATTGATTTTTGGAGTCAAAGACTACGTCGTAGTTAAATAGTTTTTTAATTCGTTGGTAACGAAGTTTCTGGGCGACAGTACGTTATGATTAAATGGATATTTCCTATAATGTATCATTATTCAATATGCTTTTACGTTGTTATTTGCAATCGAGTTATGTATTTCCTTAAACCAATATCGCTTGAGTCATGTATTTATGTAAAATTACAATAATTGCGTCCAATTAGTGTTTACATTTTTTAATCGTTTACCTTTTATACTGATAATACATTTATTAGAAAATTCTCTCGTCTACTAATACGAGCGGTTGCCCGCAACTTCGTTTACATGGTATTAGAAAACATACAAACTATATAAATTACAAAAAGCTACGTATCCCTGGGGACCGGACAATCCTCGGGGATGAAGCTTATCCCATGTGTACTCCAGACTTTGTTTTATATCTGTGCCAAATTTAAATAAGATATGTTGAACCGTTGCAGAATAATCGGGTAAACATTAAAAAACTAAATTAATGAATCCCACGGGAACTGTAATTATTCCCGGGATAAAAAGTAGCCTATGTGTTCTTCTAGACTATGTTTTAAACCTGTGCCAAATTTCATATAGATCCGGTCAGCCGTTTAGGCTACAAACGCTAACAAACATCCATCCATCTATCCATCCATCTAAACTTTCGCATTTATAATATTTGTAAGATTAGTTATAAGGAGAAAAGATTTATATTTTTGTATGTGTTGAAATAACTCAAAAAATACTGGACCAATTTAAAAAAAAATCTTTTACTATTAGAAAGATTATCTGTGAGTAACATAGGCCATATTTTTTATTTTTTTTTAATTTACACAGACGAAGCGAGCAACAGCCAGTAAAATGTAAATACAAAAGTTTAGATGTATGTTGGTTTGTTAGGATACTTACTTTTATTTTTTTTTTTAATACCACGCAGATCAAATCACAGGAAGCTTGTAATTATATGATTGTTTTAATATATTTTTCAAATGGTACATAAATTAAAAATTGTACGATGGATTTTATTACATTTTTCCTTCAAGTATTTCATTTACCTTGTAACTATATAAAAAGATATTAATTTTGTTCATATAAATGACTAGCTGTTCCCGTGCGGCTTCATCCGCATGAAATTATGAAAATTTTATTAATATGACATGACAAATCTTGGCATTCTTGCTTCCTTGATGTTGGCAGCAACTTATGGTCTCTTTCCCACATTAGGGTTTTTATCCAAAATATTTGTCCCCTAAGTTTAATGACATGAAAATATATAGCCTAAAGCGTGAGGTAAGTGTAGGGTTTTTTAAAAAAATTATTATTCAAAAACATGCTGTAATTGCCAAGATCTTAGGCAACAAAGAAGTGTGTGTTTACGCTTTATTATAATAGTATAGAATATAGAATATATATTAATTTTGTTCATATAAATGATTCCTCTTTGACTGATTCGATTATAATATGTGTACTTGAATTATTTTACGACGCGAGGCATAAAACCGTGTTTGTTTCACAAAAGTGAATAAATATAACCTTTTCTGAACAATTGTATGCTTCTATACTAATATAATGAAGCGTAAACACACACTACTAAGTTATGCATGATGTCAGCAAGCACAGTATATTTTTGAATAATACCTTTTAATAAAAATCCCTACACTTATGACACGCTTTAGGTTATATATTTTCTCGCTATTAATTAATAATTTGAAACAACCTTATGGGAAAGGGACCATAAACTACAAGCTGCCAACATTAAGGAAACAAGGTTATTATGGTAACGGTAATTTTGACATTTGTAATTAGTAATTTGACAAATGTCAACAATAAAATAAAGTTTTTACTATTTCACGCGGATGAAGCCGCATGGGAACAGTTAGTTTTATATAAAAGGACATTTCAATGTCAAATATAGAATACTAGCTGTTCCCTTGCGGCTTCATCCGCATGAAATTATGAAAATTTTATTTTATTGTTTACATGTGTCAAATTATCAATTGCAAATGTCAAAATGACATGACATGATAAACCTTGACAATCTTACTTTCTTGATGTTGGCAGCAACTTATGGTCTCTTTCCCACATTAGGGTTTTTATCCAAAATATTTACCCCCTAAGTTTGATAGCATGAAAATATATAGCATAAAGCGTGAGATAAGTGTAGGGTTTTTTTATAAAAAAAATAATTATTCAAAAATATGGTGTAATTGCTGACATCTTAGGCAACAAAGAAGTGTGTGTTTACGCTTTATTATAAAAGTATAGATTGAATAATCTTATATGGAGGTCCGCACACTATTCGATTTTAAGTTGTGCAACTAATCAGTTGAATTGGCTGCAAAACAATCGATAATCGCACAACAGTAGTTCGATTGTTCAATCAAAGCTGTGCGCCCGCTCAACGATAAAAGGCGTGCGTCATGACCCTTAACGCTTATTAACACGCTCACTGCGTAACAGGCCGATATCGACCTGCCGCGGTACTTAAGCTGGTGCGGACGAAAACTATGTCCCTCTCGGTATTGCGACACGATTATCTCAGGTGTATACATTACATTAAATAAAAAGTATTGTTTCCACAATGTTTGAGCAATTTAATCTATCCTAGTGCTGGGTGTAGAACGACCTGCATTGGCGGAAATTGGGGGCGCATTTCGGCCCGCCGCACCAGATGAATAATGATTTTACTTGCCACAGTAAACGGGTTAATATGCGTCACCATTGGCGATAAAAAAAACGCTTTATTATTAAAAATTCGATAACATATTTACTCACGCATTGTGAATAGCGAAGATTCGTGGACGTCTGGCTGCGACACAATGCAAACTTGCAAAGCGAGATATGACCCATAAATAAGGATGGTATTATGCATTAGTAAACAAACATACAAAATAATCTGTTATTATTTAAAAGTATTACTTAGTGTTTTTTTTTTCGTATTATAATACATTTTTAATATTATAATATTCATACATATATATATACTAACATTATAAAGGGGAAAGTTTTTTTTTAAAACATAAGGTGGCAATCTGAATCCGCCCAAAATGGTGAAGCGACCGCTGCACATAGACATCCGCAATTGCAGATGCGTTCCCTATCCTTATCCGACGGAGGAGGAGACGCACGTAAAGAGGACATTTGCCCTTCCTATGCATCTCCACCGTCAAATCCACTTCCTCTTCCCATCCTCTCTCTATAAGAAAAGGGTGGTAAAGAGAAAGGGACTAAAATTAGGCCTCCGGCACCACACTCATCAGACGAAAAACGGAATTGATTCAATTTCACGCCTGTCTTCTGTGTGGTCGTGGTATTACACCGGGCGTGCCGGCCCTGCAGTGCTAAGATGTTAAAGCGGACACTACCACTGTTGCATGCATTAAAATAACTCAAAAACTACTGGACCGATTAAAAAACCTCTTGCACCATTATAAAGCTACGAAAAAACGTAGCATATGTTAGTGATTACGTAGGTTTTTAAGGAAGCAAGAATTTTTGATTTCGGCCCAATAGTTTTTGAGTTATTCCAATACATACAAAAAATAATATACACTAGCTGATGCCCGCGTCTTCACCTGCGTGAAATATGCCTATGCTGAGTAGTAATCTGTGAGTACAGATACCTTTTTACCGGCGAAATAATTTTTAAAATAGGCCAGTAGTTTTTGAGTTATTAATACATACGAAAATACAAATCTTGCCTCTTTATATTAGTATAGATTACACGGACACACTTGTACAAACAAACATTCCGTATCACCATTACATAGTATTAAACAAAGTCTTTTCCCTCTGTACGCTTACGTCTTTAAAACTACGCAACGGATTTTGAAATTGTATTTTTAATAGATAGAGTAATTTAAGAGGAATGGTTATATGTACTATTATAATAAAGCGTAAACTCACACTTCTTTGTTGCCTAAGGTGTCAGCAATTACAGCATAATTTTAAATAATTATTTTATTTAATAAAAAGCCGTACACTTACGTCACGCTTTAGGCTATATATTTTCACGCCAATAAACTTAGGGGTAAATATTTTGGATAAAAACCTTAATGTGGGAACGAGACCATAAGTTGCTACCAACATCAAGGAAGCAAGGTTGTCATGGTTTGTCATATCATGTCATTTTGACATTTGCAATTGATAATATGACACATGTAAACAACAAAATAAAATTGTCATAATTTTATGCGGATGAAGTCGCACGGAAACAGCTAGTAAATTATAAAGAAGAAAGATTTGTATTTTTGTATGCATTGGAATGACTCAAAAACTAATAGGCTGATTTTAAAAATTATTTCACCAATAACAAAACTACGTTATCAGAAACTTAGGTTATATTATTTTTTAATTACTGGTAGACGAAGTCACGAGCAACAGCTAGCATTTTATTAAAATACTGATTATTTTAGAGGTTTCTAATGTGATGGGATCCGTGCGAAGTCGGAGTGGCTGGTAAAGAACAAAGTATTCTCTTGTTATAGTGTCTAAATAATTTAGATTAGTTTGACAATTCATTTCAAATTTAGTAGGGATGGGTTGTGTAAAATAAGTCATGAATCTTATCGATTTTCGATTTTTATTCTTATAGAAGTTGGAATCGATAGATTTATAGTTATAATTAATGAAATAAAAAATAACACTGTTTTCTCAAATTAATAATGACCATAACAAAAAATGAGAGTAAATAAATGTTTATTACTACTACAGCCGTACGTAATCGAATTGGATTTCGCTATTATTTTTGTCATCGCTAAATTCTCTACACTAAAATCAATACTAGAATTGTCCTTTAAATTAGTTATTAATAAAATAATAATTTAAGTCGATTTCGATTATTATTTAAACCGAATATCGATAGTTCGAAATTATTCGCTGCGTGTTTCGTCACTACGATACCTGTCTATTAAGTACGGCATTTGCCTTCATACAAATTGAATTCGATACTTCATATGCGTCATTTATCAAACTAATTTATTTTATTTAGACAAACTATAATCAGAAAAATATTATTAATGAATGCATGTTGTATAACACCATTCAGTCATTTAAACTTGTTATGCATATAAAGATTATATTGTTCTGTCCACCTTTGACTAAAATCGCACAACGGTTGTGCGATTGTCAATTGTTTTATAGCCAATTCAACTGTTTAGAACAACTAAAATTGAGTAGTATAACCTCCACATAAGCTCTAATCAATGCGTGAACAAAAGTTGTGCGACAATCTAGTTTCAGGTGTGCGCGCTGTTATTGTTTAGATTTCGATTGGAACACTGCGTAGGTGGCAATGTCAAGTAAATAAAGGAGGTAGAATTATTGCTTAAACGAAGGAAGTGATTATCTACTTGGATATAAAACTGCGTTTCCACTAAATCATTTTACGCGAACGACTATTTTTATCTATACCATTATAATAAAGAGGAAAACTTTGTTTGATTGTAATGAATAGGCTCAAAAACTACTGGGCCGATTTTAAAAATTCTCCCACCGTTAGAAAGGTAATTTATCTGTGAATAACATAGGCTATAATTATTTTTTTTTTTAATTTCGCGCGGACGGAGACGCGGGCGGTAGCTAGTCATAAACTAGCCCATGAACACGAGTCCACCTAAACTAAGTGAAATTTTATTCTATTGTATGGTAGAGGTGTTTGACTCGGGATCGAGTATATATACAAGGATCATATGTCAGTTGTCAATTTAGTGAACTAAAAATTTCATGAAAACGTCACATTTCGATCTATGAAGCGGCTAAACGGAATGTCTCCATTTTGATGTCTAAATTCGGACTAAAAATCCATACGGTTTTGTTTCCAACGTGGAAGAATATCGAAAAAAGTGATTACTGCTTACTGGTTACTAAGAGCAGGCATTACCTTTGACTATACTATGACACAACTGTTTCGTCGCGCTTTGATTCCTAGGTGCACTATTCGATTTTTTATTGTGCTAAACAGTTGAAGCTGCGAAACCGACAATCGCTCAACTGTTTTTTTTTATTTCTCTTTTAATAATACAAAAACAAATAAATCTAGCTTAATCTAAAAAAACGCTAAATAAACCTCAATGGTTTTTCACTAGCGTTTCAGTGGCTTGCGTACATAAATATTGTTTCAGTTTATGCATGTTTTTTTGTGTTATACATTTTATTAATGTTGTTTGATTGTTTTGTCAAAGTTCGCTCTAAAAAATAGTAGGCCTAATTTAGTCCCTTTTCCTTTCCTTTTCTTCAGAGGAAAGGATGGAAAAGAAAAGTGGATTTGACGATGGAGGTGATGCATGGGAAGGGGAAATGCATCTGCAATTGCAGATGTTTATGGGCAGCGGTCGCTTTCTATTTCGGTGGACTCAGGCCGCTTGCTCGTTTGACACCTTATAATAAAAATCCGGTTGTGCTAAACAGTTGAATAGGCTGCACGACAATCGCACGACAGTTTAGTCAAAGTTCGCTCTAAAAAGTAGCAGTTCTGTCAATGTCAAAAGTGCCGTAAGATCCTTGTGACACACATGGCCATTGGAACATGTTAAGAAAAAAAACTCACACATCAATTGTCTTTTTTCGTTTTATTAACGATACTTTTTAGTTTCCTGCGTGTGTTTATAATGTTCTTTTTTAATCTGTAAACAATCTCGTCTGCTGTGATATCATCTATATCTGGAAATTCCCTCAAAACTGTTATTTTTATTGCTTCATCTAACTCAGGTAGATTGTTTACCTTTTCTTTAGTATCCAATTTTTCTTTTTTCGATAAAACTTCGATTAAATCTTCACTAAATTTAATTATAAACTCATCTAAATTATTATTAACTTCTTGTTTTTCTTGTTGCGATAAATTTATGTATTCCTTTTCGACGTTTTCTGATATTGTTGTTTTAAATTTTTCGATGTATGAAGATAGAGTTTCTTTGACATCTGTCATTTGTTCTTGTTTTATATCTTCCGTCGGCTTTGCATTCACAAATGCTATTACAATCGAAATAATTAAAACATCTGTAAAGAAAAACGGCAATTATATAATAACTAGATTTCGCCCGCGACTCCGTCTGCGTAGAATTAAGAAAAACAAATGCAAGTAGCCATGTGTTCTTCCAGACTATCCTCTACATTTATGCCAAATTTTGTTGAAATCCGTTCAGCAGTTTAGGCTACAAATTAACAAACATCCATCTAAACTTTCGCATTTATAATATTAGTAAGATTATTTTGAACGAATCACAATGGATCGCTAGTATAAAATAAATTATTCATACTTCATACCAATATTATAAATGCGAAAGTTTAGATAGACGGATGGCTGGATAGATGTTGGAGTTAGAGAGAGAGAGTTAGAGCCTACATGACTGATCTGATTTTGATGGAATTTGGTACAGATGTAGAGGATAGTCTGGAAGAACACATAGGCTACTTTTTATCCCGGAAATAGTTACGGTTCCCCTGGGATGCATTAATCTTGTATTTTAATGTTTACTCGATAATTTTGCTATGCTTAAATTTCAACATATCTTATTGAAATTTAGCACAGATATAAAACAAAGTCTAGAGTACACATGGGATAAGGTTTATCCCCGAAAAACGTACGGTTCTCAAGGGACACATTATTTGCATAGTTCGTCTGTTTTCTAATACCATGCGGACGAAGTCGCGGGCAACAGTGTAAAATATTATTACAAAATGTACTTACACATTTTAATAACAAAACAATGTTGCTATGTGGTAACTCTTGCACTAAAATTATTTCGACAGCGTTTGTATTAAATACGAGAAGTCAGGGTTATGTGAATTTTAAACAATATAGCATTTCTAAAATAATTCTCAAGTACAATATGGCGATAGACAACCTCTGATATCGGCAGAGAGGTTAAAAAATTCACAGAGTGTCCGAGAAAGACGTGTACAATGGACTACCACAAATTACTTGGTTGTTATATTATGACGATTTGACCCAACTTACCTCTATCCCTTTGTTTCTCTCTCTAGTGCCTCTTCATTAATGGAGGTTGGCCGTCAGCTCAGCGAACTTTTCCCGGTCTTGTGTCTCTCTTCCTTTGTTTAAGAGTTCTAAATTTTGCTAATTATTTTACATTTATTTTTTTATATTATAAGGTGGCAAACGACCAAACGGCTATCTGTATTCGTCTAAATGGCGAAGCGACCGTTGTCCATACATCCGCGATTGCAGATGCGTTGCCTATCATTAATCGACGGAGGAGACGCACATAAAGAGGATATTTCCCCTATGCGTCACCACCGCTGTCAAATCCACTTTTCCCCGTCACTTTCTGTTAAGAAAAGGGTGGAAAGGAAAAGGGATTAAAATCAGGACTCCGGCACCACACTCTTTAGACGAAACGCAGAATTGCTCCCACTTCACGCCTGTCTTCTGTGTGGTCGTGGTATTGCTGGGACGAGCCGACCCTGCAGTGCGAATATGTTATAGCGGGCTTCACTATTGTTAACTCAAATATCTCGAAAATCCTTTAACAGATTTTATTCATATTGAGACAATTGTTTTCATTTGTTAAAGTACATCTTTTTGTGATACATCCCTTTGTCATTAAGTCCTCAGGGTGTTCGAAAACTCGAAGATCGTAACAAATTTTTTATCACATTCTTGTAACCGCCTGTATAATCCTGTAGCGTTTTATTCTCAGATAGACAGTGTTATTTATATTATTTTTGGTCTCTTTAGCGTATGGTTTTAGAACCAAACAATATTTTATAAATAAACTTCGTTAAAGCCCAATGTTTGTGCTGAAATATTCGATTGGATTTTAGATTGGATTAATCATCTATACTTCTATACTATTATAATAAAGCGTAAAAACACACATCTTTGTTGCCTAAGATGTCAGCAATTACAGCATATTTTTGAATAATTCTTTCTTTAACAAAAAGCCCTACACTTGCGTCACGCATTAGGTTATATATTTCACACCATTAAACTTAGGGGGTAAATATTTTGGATAAAAACCCTAATGTGAGAAAGAGACTATAAGTTGCTGCCAACATCAAGGAAGCAAGATTGCCATGTTTTGAATGTCATGTCATTGTGACATTTGCAATTCATAATTTGACACATGTAAACAACAAAATAAAATTTTCACAATTTCATGCGGATGAAGTCGCACAGGAACAGCTAGTTTCTGACATTTAAGGAAAAATCGTGACAGGAAACTAAATAAAAGCATGTTTTGATATTAACAAAAATGCATTTTATTCATCTGTACAAAAATAACAACACAAAATATAGTTACTGAAAGTGTGGAATGTTAAAAAAAACACGATTTACTTGAAGTGTAAAATCTAGTAAAGGTCGGAGACAATATATTTTTAATTATTGGACAACAAAAGGGACGGATGAAAAGACACTACATGTGGCGAAAATGCGAATGTTAAGATGGATGTGTGGGGTAACACGATTAGGTAAGATACGAAATGAGTATATTAGAGGAAGTTTGAGAGTAGTAGTGGTAGAGAAGGTAAGGAGTAAAAAGGTGAGTGGGTGCATGTTATGAGAAGGGCTGAATCGCATGTAACAAGGACGTTAGTTATGATTGTGGTACACCGGTAGTGGTAGACATAGAAAGAGATGGATGTATTGCGTGAAAGGTGACATGTTCAAGAAGGGAGTGATGACTGAGATGACGGATGATAGTTATTTGGAGGACGAAAACCCGGTGCGCCGACCCTACGGGAGTAGGTAAGGCAGAAATTATGAATCTAAGGCATTAGTATTTGCTTATATCCATTGATGAACATAATAAATGGTCTTGTGCCGCGTTTCTTTTTCAAATAGCTCAATAATTCTTCACCATTTTCTGGTAATTGTACATATACAACACTTGGTTTCAAATTGACATCAATCTGTACATTATCTGTGTTTTCGTTGCCATCTTTATTATCTGTTGATTCTTTATTTTTACAATAATTGACAGTTATATCGAGTACGGTATCTTTTTCGTCTTCGTCCTCATGATGTTTGTCGATTTGTAATTTTAACGAACGTATATCGAAGTCGTCGTAACGATCTGATAATGTATTTAGAAATTCAACTATTTCGTTGACCATCTCGTTTATTTTGACCTCATTGTCTTTTGTTGAATTTATACAATTTGAATCTAAAGGGTTATCTGGAAAAGTAAAAATATTTAATCTATTTTAATATTATAAAGAGGAAAGATTTGTATTTTTGTATGTATTTGATTTACGCAAATATTGCTGGGTCGATATTGCAAAATCTTTTACCATTAGAAAGTTAATTTATCTATGAATAACATGGGCTAGGCTATTATATTTTAATTTCTTACGGACGAATTCGCGGGCGAAAGCCAGTAATCTATATATGTTTTTTGTAGTTTTTTATTTGTACCATTTTTACCTCCATCAGTTTTTATGGATTATTATTTTTTTTAACTGACATTCCAATAAGAGATTGTTATAAAATTGCAGAAAAGTAAGATGGCCGCTTGAATTCGTCGAAAGGGTTCTGTCCATAGACAATGCAATGCAGATGCGATTTTAACCGACAAAGGAGACGCAATGAAAGAAGATATTTTCGCTTCTTATTCTTTCCTTTTCTTCGCCAGTCACTTCCCCTTTCCATCCATTCCTTATAGAAAAAGTTTGGTAAGAAAAATGCAATAAGGCCTTCAGTAATGACTAGTTAAATTTTTTTTCACAAAAGACAAAATAACAAAAGTATATAATTTCTAAAATAATACCTGTGGATGGTATCGCGAAAGCCGCATTAAAAAACTGAAAAATAAAACCTTTGTAAAAAAATATTTTATAATTAAAACAGACAATAAGTTAATCAATATTATAAAGAAAAGAGATACATATTTTTGTATGTGTAATAACTAAAAAACTACTCTTCCTATTTCAACAATTCTTACACTATTTAAAAGCTACGTCAGAGAGTAACATAGGCTATATCTTTTAATTTCACTCTGACGAAGTCGCTAACAGTTAGCAGTAATAAAGTCAAAAAACTACTATTTCAGACAGATTTTAATAATTTTTTAATTTCGCTCTTTTGAAGTTATGAACAAAAACTAATCATTACATACGTACGTAAAAAATAACATTCAATTGAAAATTATAAATTGCTATAATTTCAAAATTTTAATAGCAAATATTTTTTTAATGAAATTTGCGGATACTTTTTTGAAAATGTTTTCAAATTCTCAAACAGTATTTATTAAATATTTACAAGGTATAATTAATAAATAAAAACTTACTCCAAACAATAATAAAATGTTTATCATTGTTATTTTGTTAATCCAAAAATGTCCTGCAAACTCTATTACTTAAACGCAACTGAAATCTAACCAAACATATGTCTAAAACATCTGCACGTTACAAAACAATTGGTTACTAATTTGCATAAACAAATTAGATTCATAAAAATACTTTTTCGTTTGACGTAGTTTCTATTTGATGTCATTCCTTTCTTAAAGTTTGTCTAAATTAGATAGATTAGTTTGATAAATGACGCATATGAAGTATCGAATTCAATTTGTATGAAGACAAATGCCGTACTTAATAGACAGGTATCGTAGTGACGAAACACGCTGCGAACAATTATGAACTACGAGCTGTTGCCCGCGACTTCGTACGGGTGGTATTAGAAAACATACAAACTATATAAATTACAAAAAGCTACGTATCCCTCGGGAACCGGACATTTCTCGGAGATGAAGCTTATCCCATGTGTACTCCAGACTTTGTTTTATATCTGTGCCAAATTTCAATAAGATATGTTGAACCGTTGCAGAATGATCGAGTAAACATTAAAAAACTAAATTAATGAATCCCACAGGAACAGTACCTATTCCAGGGATAAAAAGTAGCCTATGTGTTCTTCCAGACTATGCTCTAAACCTGTGCCAAATTTCATGGAGATCCGTTCAGCCGTTTAGACTACAAACGCTAACAAACATCCATCCATCCATCTAAACTTTCGCATTTATAATATTAGTAAGAAGTAAGATTGATATTCGGTTTTAATAATTATCGAACTCATCTAGTTAGTGTATTGTTTTTTAAATAAATTAAAATTATATATCTATACTAATATAATAAAGCGAAAACATACACCACCTTGTGACGTAAGATGTCAGCAATTCCAGCACATTTTTGAATTATTATTTTTTTAATAAAAACCCCTACTATTACGTCACTCTTTAGGCTACATATTTTCACGCTATTAAACTTAGGGGGTAAATAAATTGGAAAAAACCTTCATGTGGGAAAGGGACCATAAACTACAAGCTGCCAACATTAAGGAAGCAAGGATATTATGGTAACGGTAATTTTTATATGCAATTGAGAGTTTGACACAATAAAATGAAGTTTTTATAATTTCGAGGATGAAGCCGCACGGGAACAGCTAGTTTTAAATTAAACGCATACATTTGTAGGAAATGTAACAATTTTTCATACTTTATTGACTGAATAGACGATTATTTAAGTTTTTTATTTGTACAAGTGTAAGTTAACGCGTATAACCTCAAATAGCTAATGATTTATTACATTTACATTCATTTGCGTATTATATTGTTTCAATATTTAATGCTATTGTTTTATTTCTATACTATATGTTGCCCCAAACTTCGTCCGCATTGAATTAATGTAGCCTATGTTATTCTCGAACACATCAACTATACTTATAAGATAGACTAGCTGTTCCCGTGCGGATTCATCCGCATGAAAATACGAAAATTTTATTTTATTCTTCACATGTGTCAAATTATCAATTGC